TCTTAATTTATATATATATTTGTAAGAATCTCGAAATTAGACCTCCAGATTCTTAATTCCTATTTAATTCTTCAAAATTCGATATATAAAGTTTCGAAATCAAGAATCTACAATTTCAGATTCTTAGCCCTAAGAATAGACATAAATATGTCCGAGATAAGAAAAATCATTAAAATTAAAGAATATTCATGCTCAAATCCTTAATTCTTTAGGTCATATCTAACCCATTTCTCCATATTAAAAAGCAGAGTCTTGAAATTCTATATATCGAAAAATATAATAAAATTTTCTTTTGAGAATATATTATCTATATCAATATAAATATACCTCTCAGAATATTTTATAGAATACGAAAAAAAATATAATATCTTAGAAATCTCGAAAACGATCTCGAAATCTCTATCATTAATTATATTCTCAATATTCGTTTTTTTCTTAATAACTAAATTAATCAATTATTTCAATTAATTTCATTTTTTGACTATATATTTAAAATTCATCTAATTAATATCAATCGTCTAATATCGAATAATCTAAAAAAAATAAATTTGCCTCGATATATGAAAATCAAATATAATTCAAATTTAGTAAAAAAATATTCATTACAATATTTTTCTCAATTTTTTTAGTATTTTTTCTTTAAATTATATTCAAGATTAAATCTGATTCAAAACCCAAAAAAATTGTTTCTAATATGAGAATAATCGAAAATTCTTAAAAAAATAAAAAAATAGATTCTATTTAATTATTTATTTATTTCGGGTTTGTGGTCGAGAATTTTAGGGTTGAGGGTTTAGGGGTTTAGGATTTAGGATTTAGGGATTAAGATTTAGGCGTCACGGCTCAGGCAGAATTTGCACTGCGTCTCCCCTAGAGTTGCCTTGCATTTCTGTAGCTTGACCCCAGCCCTCTCTCCGCTTCTTGCGTTTGGGCGACAGCCATTTTAGCCTCTTGGGGGGCGTGGCTTTTCCCTTGGCACAGGGAACCACTTCACTGCTGCCATTGACTTGGCCAGTGTACTCCATCGTCACTCGGGTCTCTGGTTGGACTGGTGACACAGGCATTGCTGCGCGCTGCCTATATCCGTAACTGCTGCCATTAACTTGGCCAGTTATCTGAAACTCTGGGTGGTTTCTTTTATTTATATTCCTGAGTCTTCTCCTCCCACACGCTGCCATACATTGGCCGTCTGGTACGAGGAGGGTCTCCTATGCGCCGCCCGTTGGCGGTGGCCACAGTTTTGACCTGGTTATTGGGTTGTGGCCTTGGGCTTCTTTATCTTGGTGGCAACAGTGGCGAGACGCAGGCCACCCTCACCCTCTTGGCACCGGCGTTTACGGAAAACCCGGGCTTGGTTACGGCGGAAGGCCAGACGGACTTCCTTGACATCCGGCGAGTTCCGTATTCTTTGGGAGCATCACGGAAGTATGCCTCCCAAAGGTCGAGGCCGAGAGGCTCAACCGCCAAAAGGAAAATCCCGCGGCTCTACTACGGAAGACCACCACGACATTATTCACTTCGGCTTGCCTCAACAAGTTTCGGCAGCCTTGCAGGCGATTTCAGCCAGATCAACCGCAGGCCTGTTTCGCGATTCTGTGACTGTTCCAGCAGATCAAACCGCACAACAGGTCGCGCAATCAAGGGCCAACCAGCTCGACCGACTCAACAAGCGCCTTGCCGGCAATTCCAAGGCCAAGGCAGCTTTGACGGATGCAGCCAACTCCTGGTTAGGCAAATATGGGCAACATCTCGTGGCACTTGCAGACAGACTGAACAATATTGCGACTACATTGGATCAAGACCAGTCTGCAGCTGTGACCGCGTTGCAGGAAGCCACGGCTGCTTTAGCGGTGGACCCGAAAGAACAGGTACAGTCGGCTTTAGCCAGCATGGGACCGATTTGGTCTGCGGCACAGGAAGCCGAAGTCCTCCGTTTGGCGGCAAGCCTACGGGCTTTCAGTGCTGTGGGAAGTGGAGATGCGACTCACCTCGGGGCTCATGGTTCCCAGTTGTCGAGTCTCGGTTCCTCAGCTGGCGCTGCGCCATCTGGAACCGCAGCGTGGGAGCCAGTTTCCGCCGCCTTGGGATCTATAACGTCCACGCCCGAGCGGACTGGGTCTTCTGGCGATGGTATGGATGTTTCGCATGCAGACTCCACCTCCAAGCGGCGCTGGAACCAACGCGGCAATCGTCACCCTCGCCCTTCCAAAAGTCCTCGACGGGAATTAGACCTGTCCGCAGAACCGTGGTCTCGGGTGGCCACTGGTCTCACCCCCGAACGACCGGACAGAGGCGCTATGCCCAACGAAGACGAGGAGTTGATCCCGGCGGTCGCGACCACACCTCTCACATGGGTTACAGCTTGGGGACAGGTGTCCAGACATTGCTGGGAACAAGGTGGGGACTATGTAGGTCACCTAGCGCTCTCCGAACCGCAGGAACAGGCTATACCTATGCAGGGATTCACGACAGATCCGGAGCCTGTGGTCCTCGAGGGCGAGACCATCTGGACCGCCTTGGGTCGGTCGGTGCAGCAGCTCGAAAGTCAGGATGGGATCCTTCAGCTCGTGGCCCAGCTGAGGCAGTTCCTTTTCTCATGCAGGGACTCCCCTCAAGCGCTTCCCCGGCTCAGACAGGGAGTGTTGATCCTGGCGCATGCTGTCCTGGGTCATCTCCACAGCATCGACGACTACGGCCCGTCCACAGCCCAGGAGTGGTTATTTCCGGCAGAGGTGCTTGCGCAAGGCCTTCCCCTGACTGGGCACATCAGCAGTACGTGGAACTCCATGGCCCTGCGTGTTCTTGCAACGATGCCGTGTCCTCTGCACCACATTCCGGACGAGCCAGAATTATGAGTTCTGATGCTGACCTTGGGCAGCTCCCGGCTCGAACATTCGGGGCTAGGGTGAGTGTTCGTCAGGCTGCCTTTTGGCATCTTCACGACTCACTGCTCGTCCCTTTTCTGAGTCTGAGCTTTCTAGTCTTGTACAGGATCGTAGGTCTGTACATAGATTTTTTCCAAGGAGGGTCGTGTCAGGAGTGCCCTCGCCGTGCAGTGGTCTACACCCTCCGAGCGACTGCTGCGGGACTTTGGCTTTGCACTTGTGTCCATCTTCAATTCCACCTTGTAGGCAGCATGGCTTGTTGTTGTGAGCTTGGCGCTTTCCTGCTGGCCTGGACTTCCAAATCTCGGTTTGTCTGTCCGTCTGTGCGGCACAAGGGTCGCGGGCCCAACTCCCTCCTTCCTTGGATGCGTGCTTCTCTTGCACGAGTCTTGCGAGATTTCGTCGGGTCGTGTTATTGGCCTAGCCGTCCCTCGTCCCGCAAGTCATCTATTGGGTCTGTTCTTGTCCCCCGGCGGCGCCCTGTGTTACACCGCTGGAAGGCTGGCTTTCTTTTGTACTTGTGTTGCGTCGATGCCTCTGCTCTGCACATCGCCTCTGTTCTTGGCGGGCATCTGCTAGCCACGTCCCTAGGTCTCGTCCAAGGGGTCCAGCTAATTGCCCATGGGTTCCATGAAGGGAGGCCCGTCTTCAGTACGGGCACTATCCCCCAGGCCCAAGCTGAATCTGACCTTTGTGAGGTGGTGCCACTTGGTCGGTCCTGTAACCTGCTGCTACCACCTAGCTCTCGGCCCCGGCGCCAAGTATCGGTCTTTCTGGGGAGACTTGTGGACGAGCCTCCTCTCGTGCCTTGTCCGATCACCATGCTCGTGGATGAAAGGCTGCACGGCCCAGCCCTGCATCGCCGGATACTGCTCAACCTAGGCGTTGAGGATCCTCACCCCCGAGTCGCCCAGTTGCAGAGTCCTTTACCAGGGTTGCCGGCTGAGCAATTGATGTTCGCTCCTGCAGACCTTGATTGGAACACCGCCTTGTTGCCGATAGACCTTCGGCCGCTTGGTGGCAGCATTTGCCTTGTGCGGGGTGCGAGGTCTGATACATGTGGGCAACTTCTTGCCAATGCTTTGGAGCTTCAGGGTCGCTTCCGGGCTTTGCAAGGGGTCCTAGGTAGGTGTTGTATGGGTTGGTTTTCTCTCGGGTCCCAGCCCTTGATCCTCCCGAGCGTTGATTCTCTACAGTTTGCATACGGTCCCGAGCCTGGTCACGTGCAGCCGCTCTTCGGCACATCTCTGGAGCCACCCTTCACTCTTGACACCTTGATGCAGGTCAGCGCTACTCCGGTGGGACCGCCACTGGAGCTGTTCTCCGGATTTTCTGCCAATCATGCGGTGCTGATCACGCCCAATGGGCTTGTTTATGTTGAGGTGCCGGTGTTCGCTGACTCCAATACCTACCGGAGATTGGTGTCCCTTCAGGCATCTCCGTCTGCTGCTGGAGGTATCATGCGTTTGTGGCAACCCCTGCCCTCGTTGCCCCATGTGCAATTTCTTGAAGTTCACTGCTCCGGCGCTACGGTACCTTGCATTCTTGATTTTCGGCCGACCGGCTGGCGCATTGTCACCCCAGCCAGGGCTTTGGAGTCAGCGGTCGACGACGGCCTAGACTTGCCCTCTGAGTGGCCGCTCACATGTTTGGCCGGTGGCTTTGGTATTTTGCATAAAGAAACCGCCGTTGCTGCCACACAGCCTTTGACAGGGGGCGCGCCGTTTGTATTGTTATTTTTCCCCCCATATCTTCACGCATGATGATGATAGTTCGGGTCAAGCCATAGGCGGTCGTGAGACCTGGGATAAAACTACCCGGGCGGAGCACACTCTTCCCCCGTTGCTGCCCGGTCAGGTTGGTTCGACCAGTCATCTCGCTGCTCCACTTGTCTCGGAACCAGGCCCCCCCGATGTGCCGGCTTGGGTTGCGTCGCCATATGATGTTCTCGCAGATGCTTCCTTCGCAGACAGTCTGGGCGACTCCGATACCCCACCAGACAGATCTGATGCTAGCTGGGTTCAGCCTTGGAGCTCTATCGGCTGTGCGTTTCTGGTTGCCCGCTTTCCCTATAAGATCGGGTTTGTTCTCTGTCTGGGTCATCTGACCCACGCCATGACTACCCAGAGCGAGCCCCCGTCCCCACGTTTCGTGATTGAATCACCCAAGCCTGCCCTTGATGCTGCCCGCTTAGCACCACCCTCGGCGCACCAACGGCTTCAGACGCATTGGCAGCACAGCTCCTTTGATGTTGAAGGCACGTTATGGCCGGTCCCGAGCAGCGGTTCCCTTGCCTTACGCTTTAGCTTTAGGCTTTGGGGTCCGGAAGATTCGCATGTCTTCGAGTTTCTTGGGGCTCAGCCTGCCCGGGCGGTTCGTAATGAGCTCCTGCGGGTCGCCGGATTGGCTGGCCGCCCTCGTGTCTTCGCCGCCTCGTTGGGTTTAACGACCACTCAGGTGCACCTGGTTATGGCTTCGTCGACGCAGGTCTCTGCGACGGTGCTTTTCGATGCGGGCTTTGAGGTCTGGTGCGCTGATGTGCCGCGGCACATATCGGCAACCCACTTGTTGTCCATCGCCTGTGATTTGGCTTCCACTGATGCCTTGCAGCTTAATACGGAGATTTCGCTTCCTCTTCGACACGGTGATGTCCTCCCCGTTCGCCTGGAGGCTAATCAGTTGCAGGTTGACCTGTCACGGCATGTTCTGGCCCGACCTGCTGAGTCAGCCGCGGTTTGGTTGGACCCTGTGCAGTCGTTTTATCTTCTTACCTTCTCTCGGGGAGTCCAGGGTTTTCAGCTGGCCGTTAGTTCTGATGTCCAGACGTCATTGCTGCGAGGCTTGCTCCCTCTTGAAGAAGGTAAGGGCGGCACTTTCCTCGAACTTCCCTCCAGGGCGAGCCTTCCCCTCAGACTCTTTGTGCATTGCCGTCAAGGCAACGACCATGTAGTCTTTCGGGTCTCGGAAGCCTCTGACCCTGCCGATACGGGGTTTTTCTTTCTCTTTTCGGGGATTTTCGACACCTATTCCGATTTTGCCAGGCGCCTTGGTCAGCTACAGACGGTGGAGGCCCGCTGGCTTCGGGCACTTCGATCTTATGGGTTGCAGGTTACCACCTGGGAGTCCATGGAACTGACTCGTTCTGTTGGATCCTCCTTCTGGTATGTCCACCTCCAGGCAGACATTATTCGCGCTCAACTCCATTTCGCACAGGCTCGCGCGGCCCCTGCCTCATTTCATCAGGTTCCGCCGCACACGGCCACCCAGCGTCCTAAGCCACATACTGAAAAGGCTACCCAAACTATAGCTGGGCCTGGCGGCTTCCCGCATGAAATTGCGGTTTGGCAAACCCCACCTCAACCCACCCACTGTGAACCCGGCGTGTTCCCTGAGGTTTCTTCGACTCTGGCCGATGTATGGTGTGATGCCTGGCACATCAAGTGTCTCATTCCTTGCATACCGGAATATCAGGCTTGGGTTCTTCGGGATGGCAATCGTTTGATCGGCCTGTGCACGGCTGACATTACGTGGGACCTTGTGTCCCAGGCGCTTCACATCTCGACTTGGGAGCTGCCACAAACCTTCGTTCATGGAGATGGCCTTCTGCTACCGTATCCAGAGCCCTTGCATCAGGCTAAAGACAAGTGTCTCAGTGTCTCGCACGATACTCCTGAGGCCGTGCATTGTTTGCGCCAGATTTCGCAGAACCGTCGACAGAGTGTGCAGCCGGCTCGCAGTCCCGCGGTTAGATGGTCGCCAACCCCTTTGGGCCTGGTTGCTGGCCTCTGTGCACGGCGCTTGTGGTTTTGCTTTAGCCTCGGAGGGTTTCTTGTGCTCCCGGGCACCTTTGGTGTCATGCTTGATGATGTCATCGCTGACGCAGCTGCTGACCCAGCGCCTGAACCCCTGCCTTTTCGTGACTACATGGACCTTACACGGACCTGTACCATGTCATGGACTCATGAGCTCAGCAGGCAAACCCTTGGGTTTTCAGTCCGAGCACAGATTCTGGGCGAGCACCTCCAGCGCATTGCACCGGCACCGGAAATCCTGCTGAATCTGTGGCGGCCGGGTCGTGGCCCCACTATGCTCCAGGTTCGCCCTCGTCGTCTGGCTCTGCATTTAGCTAGTTTTCTCCGGGCCCTGGGGTATGTTGAGGGCATTGATAGCCTCCACATAGCCTACGACACTAGTCCTCATATACTGGACCTTGTCCTTGTACCTCCGACTGGCGGTACGTGGTGGATCTTGCAGGACAGCACCGGCAGAGAGCTTCTACGACCGATCGTCCGGCATCATACCTCTGCGGTTCATTTTCGCCTCCTCACTGTCAGTCCGGACCAGATAGCGCAGACTGTCTGCCCTGCTTATGGAGTTCAGCAGCAACCCCTACTTCCCCAAGGTGCACGGGGTAGGGTGATTCGCGACTTGCCGGAGTTGTACGGTTCACTGTGCCAAGGTATCTTGGGTTTCGCTGCCGCTGCGGGGATTCGTCGTGGGCTAGCCATGTTTAGCCTAGTCTTTCTTGTGTACGGTACCTTGGGAGCCGACGCCGTCGTTCAGGCTGCCACGTCCACCCTGTCACTTGCTACTGCCGGTGCCCCGGCCAATCCAGGGCCTCATACTTTACGGATCTGGACGGTTGGGGTTAAGAAGCCTGTTGATCTTCCTTGGAAGCCTGAAGGCTACAATACTCGCTGGCTGCACGACTTTATTTGTAGCATTCATGGGGTGCAGGGAGCTGGCCAATTCTTATCCACCACCGGCGCGGCAGGTGATTCTGTCATGCACCTGCTCTTTGTTCCGAGACTTCATGGATCACCGGCCGGCCAACCACGGTTTTGGCTCTTTCACGTCGAAGACCGGGCCAGTGTAGTGTATGGGCATTGCCCGTTCGATTGGGCTATCGCGGCTACGCATCTCCACGAGATCTATCAGGGTCTCCATGTCCCTCAGTCCCGTCCGACACTTGTCATCGGCTCCCAACTTGTGGCTCCCAGCTGTCACCTTTCTGACGTCCCTTCGGGTTCTATAGTCCAGATCCCCATAGGTGCTCTCCCCATGGAGTCCAGTGATGATGCCTGGGAGCCTACGCCGTGGGTTGTCCCTGGACCCTTTTTCCAGTATGTGCCAGCAAGGGGGCCTGCTGGCGAGGCAGCCATCTCCCCAGCTCAGCAAACCTTGCCTGAGGTTGCGCCAGCGGCACCCTCGCGCTGTGAAGTAGCGTGTCAAACCGAGACGCTTCTGTCGGTGGACACACCCCTGCTGTCCGCGCAAGTTGTTGGCGATCTGGCTCTGCAGCTCCAGGGTATGGCTGAGCGCCTACTCTCCTTGCCCTTCGCCTCGGTTGAGGATCATATGCATTCCTCTCAACCTTCGATGCCATCCCAGCCTTCGGCTCCGGTCTTCTGTGGGCCGCCCACGGAGTCTTTCTCTGAGCAGGAAGTCCCCGAGGTTGAGCCCTGCGAGCAGGAGGATGTGACTGCGTCTGCACTGGCCCCTTCTGAGGTTTCGTCCGTGTCGCCGCGGCGGCTTTGTCGTCGCCGTGCCGTTCTACCCTGCATTTTGGGTATGTCTATCTTACCGAAGAGAGCAGCGCCCAGAGTCTTCATTGGCCTCCTAGCTTATGTTACTCTATTTCAAGGAGTGTCGGGTTCCTATTTTACCCCCGATGTTAGTGGCTCCGAAGATGATGACATCCACTCTGCAGATGTTCCTGAAGGCCACCGCCCAGGTGACGGCCCTCATATGCGGCCGGCTGGCCCGCCGCCTCCCACGCCGGCCGGCGCTGCGGACGACCCGGATCCTGCGGACGCTCGGCTTGTGTACAACGAGACAATGCCCCCGGACTTGAACTTCCTTCCGGGCTCCATGAGGAATGTGCATGTTACCCGACGCTTCCCAGACCCGGTGGTCATACGGTGGGTCCAAAATAGGCTCATTAGACATCAGCACGGTCTCCTCCCTGCCACAGCCTTCCTTAACGGCCCGATTCCTCAGGGCACGCCCTTCCGCTTCCATAACCCCTTCACAGCTCGGGCACAATGTCATGAGGTTGGCTACCAGGAGCCGGAGCACATTCCACCCTTGGGTGTGTTGCAGGCGCACGCCGATAACCGCGGATGGCGTGGAGTGGTTCTACTAAACCCTCAGCCGGACTCTGCTGCCGTTCACTTGATCGCCCTTCCTCAACATGGCCACCTGGTGTCCATCGCGCTGCTTGTCAACAATAGGGTTGTCCCGTGTTGTGTTCCTAGGCGCGCTCGATGGCGGGATTTGCGAGGTATCACTTTCGAGGGTGTGCACGGTCGCCTTGATCTCCCACAACACCTTGACGTCGTGCATGACACTGTCACTTTCCGCTCAGGAGATTGCTTTCGGGTGGATACTGAACAGGAGCACACTGCCGCCTCCGAATACGCTAGACTTGAAGACGTAGACCATGAAGCAGCGGAGGGTGCTCTGCATCATCCTCCAGCGGAGGCCTCGTGCGGCTGTCGCCCCCGGCCAGCCTTGCTCGGTTTCCTAGGAGGAGTCGTTGTCGCTTTTCGGAAGCCTCTTTTCTGGTTGGGGGTTATGGGCATCGGGGTTTCATGTGCCATGCACCGACCTGGAGGCTTTCCCTGGCAAGCGCCTGCTCATACACGTGCCTTTCGCCTACCCGATTCAGAGGCGCAGGTCCAGGTGTTATACTACAGCCCATTTCTGGGTACCTTTCCCGCCTACTGGGCCACCTCTGGGACAGACCAGAGCACTGTCTGGGCGCAATTTTTGAATGACGATGCGGCCTGGGCGACTGACTTCTTCCCAGTGTGGCCGGGACTTCACTTCAATGCGTTTGCTTTTGTCCCTGTAGGGGGCGACCCCTCTACGGTTACAGTGATTTTGCACTACCGAGGTTTTGGCCGGGCTGTTCTGATTCCGCGAACTGTCACCGACTCCTGGCTTCAAACCTTTGTTTCTCAGCAGGTTAGTGCGGACATCGAGGACATTTTTCTCCCGCATGCTCTGGAAGCATGGCGTTTCTATGACGTTCCCCCTCCAGATTATCGCCTGCGGCACGGTGATGTTATTTATCTCCGCGATAGGGAGCAGGGACGCGACCCCTTGGAAGCCGAGGAGCCATGGGATATCCAAACTAGCGGTACAGGGCAACACGCCCCCTGGGCGGTCGGTTTCCGATTAGACAGTGATACGGTGGTAGACTTGCTGCAGCCGAGTCAGCGCCCTGTTTTGGTCTCGGTCCCGGCAGGCGAAACGTGGGCCCCGGTCCAGTGTACCTTCTCTGGTGCCTTCCACCTTCAGCATCAGGGCATGTGGACTCCTGTACAATGGACAGCATCCAGTGTCCCGCAGCTGATGCTTATCAGCGGAGTTGCCGCGGAAGCAAATATTGTAGTGGCATCACCCGCGGGCCGGCGTGTGCGGGCTGTGCCCCGTTATGTCAGCCGCGATTCTCTTGCAGCCTGCACCGGCCTGTGCCACGCCTCCCTGGTTCTCGGTGGTGTGCCGGCTGCTTCCCTCGATGCCGGGGTTGAGATTCGTAATGGTGATGTTGTGTTTGGCGAACCGGTCACGGGGTCTTCCTCATCGGTACGTCCGTTCCCTCTTTTGATCTCCATTGTCTTGGCGGCACATGTCTCCACATGCCAATGGCTTCTTGGCATTTCTCTCCTCGCCTCCGTTGGCGCTATGCAGCAGCCGCTGGCCTTCTCCTTCAATGCCTATCGCGTCGGACGGTTCCCTTGGCGGGAGGATGACCCCCAGGCGGATCTTGCACCTTTGAGTTCGCATGATGCGGTGGATACTGTGTATCTCAGCCCCTTCTCAGGCCCCGGCCAGGTCGTTACACTTCCCACGACCTTCTCTGTATCAGCTTGGTCCGAGGCTCTGGTCCAGCAGGACCCGTTTTGGGGTGCCATTGCCTGCCCCGTGTGGCCCACAGTGTCTGCCGGAGCTATGGTAGCGGTTCCCCGGCCCCCGACACTCAATCTTGTTTGTGTACATGTCACATCACATTTGGAACACTTCGCCCTGTGCATACCGCGAGTCACTACGGTGGCTTGGCTGGTCGGTGCCCTTCGAACTGCACGCGTGCTCGACGTGCTGTCTCTTCGTATACCCCCAGCCCTAGGCCAAAGTCCGGGCGATAGTCAGGATGAAATCGCTTGGCGGACCGGTGACCTGGTCGTGGCTTGGCCTCCGGATGCTTTTACAGGTCTTTTCCAGACCCCGGTTTTCACGCGAGCTGAACAGCTTAGGCACTGCGCTATCTGGTCCCTTGATTTCTGTCTGGCCGCGAAATCCGATGCTGTCATATGGCAACCTGACACTCGCCCGCTTCTAACTACCATTCCCCGCGGCTCGCGCTGGAGTGCGCTTGATGCCACCTTCGAGGGAGTCTTCTCAGATCGGTACCCCGGGAGCTGGACCCCGGTTCCGTGGATAGCCGAAGATCGTCCTCATTTGATTCAAATTGCAGCCTCGGACCGCTTTGTTCATGTTGTTGTGGAAACTCCTGCGGCTTGCTTCTGTACCGCAGTGCACATGTACACCGACAGGCGGCAACTGAGAGCGGATCTTCCTACACTTGATGGGATGCCACGGGTCTTGTCCGTTCCTGACGAGGAGCTCCAAGCAGGTACCACTTTGCGTGATGGGGATGTGGTTGTTGAGGTTCCTAGCTGTGGATCCCATCGATGCCTTATCGGCTGGGGTCTTTTCGGTCTTGCGGTCGGGGGCCGATCTCCCGGTTGGTTTTGGGTAGGAGGCGTCGGGCTTTTCTTCTGCCGCTGCAATGTTGTCTTGCCATGTGCTGCCAGCAACCATGATGCCCCCAGCCCCGATTCCTCGGAGGCCCGTACCATCCGTTCGAGGATAGGCCGAGGTCGTCGTAGTCGCTCACGGAGCCAGCCCGGACCGCAACCCAGTTTTAGCTTCTTTCCTCTGGATGCCCGTCGCGCTATCGTGTCTCCACCCGTTCCCTTACACTTGTGGCATCCAGCGCCTCCTGAGTCAGGCAAATGCTTCGAGGACTTCGTTGGCAACCAAGGCGAGTTAACTGTCCGTACTTTGTGCCCGTTCGCGGGGACTAGTGGTTGTCAGCGGGTTTCAGTTGAGTCTAGCTGGGATCAGGTTGTTACTGCCAGCCATGCACACTGTGGTCGATGGGCTGACTCCTTTATCCCGGTGCGAGGCTTCGGGGCTGGTGGGAGCCTTACTGTTCTCCCAGTCAGTCCTTCACCCTTTGCTTCTGTCGTCATTCTTCGTCGAGGCGTCTCGCACGCGGTCCTCGTTCCGAGATTTGCTACCTTACACAGCTTCACTTCGCCGCCTGCCGTCGGGAGTCTGGGCGGGACGACGCCCACTGGACTGCTACCCCGGGGATCTACAGCAGTGATCGGAGACGGCCCCTCTTCCTTCGGAATGGGGATTGCATTGGTCTTTCCCCGGACCCTGCCGGCCAGGATTGGGATGCAACGGAGTGGCCTCAGTACCGTGACCCACAGGCTGCCCTTGCCGGGGCATCCTGGGCCCTACCCTTTACTTTCGAGTTAGGGGGTTCTGCTCGATTTTGGTTCGCGGCCAGAAGGGATCCTTCTCACGTCATTCTCCGAGGCGGGACCTGGTGGGACCCCGAGCGCTGCAGCTTCCGGGATGCACACGGCGAGCCTATGCGCGGCACTTGGATCCCTGCCTTGTCGGGCTGTCTGCCCGATCTGCACCTGATCAGCCCCGGAGCGCCCTTGGCAGCACATGTGTTCTGTGTGGATAGCCGAGAAAACCGGTACCCACTTGTTACTGCTCATTTGGGGGGCCCTGATGCCTCTGGGCCTCCTTACGGCTGGCAGTGGCACCCCAGTCTGGCTGCTACCTTTCCTTCCCGCTTGCGTGACGGGGACGTTCTGATTGCCGACCCCGCCGCGGAACGGGTATGGGACCCATTGGCGGGTGTACCGCCTTCCATATCGTTTGACGAGGTCGTCATCAGCGCTTCGTTCCTCGCTCTTGGCCGACCCTTCGCCGGCTTCGGCTTGCTTCTCGGCCTCAACGGATAGATCACGCTATGAGGCACAGTGCTGATAGCTCGGGAATTTGCCCAGACACTCATCCTGCCCCGGCTTCTCGAGCGAGTTGCTCCCTTTGTGGTCCTGCTCCGCCGAGTCTTCAGCCAGCTCCTCTGGGAGGCCTTGGCCATTGCGGGTCTGAGCGGCAGCCCGGGCTTGCGTGGATGCCTCTCGGGGTGGCTCCTGTCGTGTCTCTGGGGCTCGTCCGCGGTACGTTTCGGGGCCCTTGGTTGAGTTTGGGTTTGGGCCTCCTTTTTGGCGTTCGCTCCTCTGCTGGAGTTCGATTGGACTCCCCTGACATTGCACACCGGTTGTGGCAGCCCGGAGGGGGTCTGCAAGATCCTGTGTGGACTCATGATGCCCGTTGCCCACCCGAATTTGTTGCGCAGTTTCCTGTCTGGAATCGCCCAACCCGGGTCCGGCCTGCCGTGTACGGGGGAGGCTGGGAGTGGATCCCTGGCTCTGTCGATCCTTCCCATGCCTCCGTGGTTCTGGTCGCGCCGCCTATGCCCAGGGCAGCGTTACTGCCCAGGATTTGCTCGGCTCATCTTCTACTGAGTTCGCTCAGGCTCCAGACTCCTTCTTTGACTCAGGTCGAAATCACTCCGGCGGCTTGGCGTGGTACTAGAAAGCAGGCCGCTCCCACGTTATACCTGCGTGATGGGGATGTTGTGCAGGTGCGGGCACAGGGGTGGATTCCCATGCTCCGAGCCCCACCGTCCATTCTCCACTGCTCTCCATCAAGTGCTGCCAGAGATGCCTTTTGGGGTCTCCCTTTCCGTATTAGGGACCCTGGCATGATCTTTGCTTGGCGACCGGGAGATCCCAGGCCTCTTTGCTTCCCGTCTCTTCGAGACGAGGCCTGGGATCCCGAGGGCTGCACTTTTCGCCCCTCTCTAGCTGCTCTCAGCCCGGAGCGGTGGGTCCCCGCCGCTCTTGAGGACCCCTTGGGACTACATATGATTTTGGAAGGTGCAAGCTCCCTGTGGGTCCATCATTTCCTCCCCGGTGTTCCGCCTGGAGCTGTCCGGAGCTCTCGTGAGGAAGTGGCGTCAGACCTGCGTGACGGGGATGTGAGTCGTGCCCGGACACACTCCGTCGCTTCTATCCCAGGCTTGCTGATGTGGAGTTTTAGTCTTGGCCGGGGTGGCCGCGCCGTGTCGCACATCGCCGTGACCGGCTGGTTGCTTCTACTCTATGCTGGCGCAGTGCATGGTTGCCCTTTCCCTGTCGCTTATGTCCCACCTGAGGGCGGCATCTCGGCCACCCTCCGTAATGTATACCCCCTTGCCTGGGGAGCCCCGGAGGTCGCAGCTCCTTCCTTTGGCCTGGATCTCGATCCGGCGACGAGAGTTTATGCCCGCATCTCGGCTCACTACCTCACCCGGCCCTTGCGCACTGATCTACCCTCTGCGGCACCCATACAATGGTGGCAAGCTTGGCATCGTTTTCAGGGTTGGGGCGGTGGTGTACCCGAGGAGATCTGTATCTCCACTGATGGCAGCGGGCATGAAAAGGGTGGCTGGGCCTTCGTTGTGTGGGTCCTATGGCATGGTAGGTGGTACCGGCACGGCTGGGATGGGGGCGCTGTCCACAGGACGCCCTGGCTCCTACCGGCCCCTTCTACCACCTCGGATCTTCGGTCCTATTTTGGCGAACTTGGGGCTCTTACATCTGCAGCCCTCTGGCTAACCGCATGGTGGGATTGCCTCCAGGTTTCCACTGGCGCCGCTCCTACGCGTGTCACCATCGCCGTTGATAATACGGCCGCCTTAAGCGTAGCGGCCGGCCGGGCCGCCGCGACTCACCCCCAGGCTCAGGTTTGCCGAGTTGTTTGGCAGGCAGCGCAGTCTCGCATTTCCACCGATTTCCGTCACGTCCCAGGTCATCAAGGTTTTCTTGTCAACGAGATCGTTGATTTCCTTGCCGGATATGCCGCCTGTCACCCCCTGTGTGCCTCTGTGGGCAGCGCGCGTCTCGGCCCTGAATTCGCTCATGCCCTCGCCGCGGAGGGTCCAAATCTGTGGCTCCTTCCTCACGCCACGATGCTGGATCAGCACTGCGTCTGGACCCCGCCGCCGGTTTCGGCTGGCGAGTCGCATGAGCCGGATGCCCCTGCCGTGGTCCCGAAGCCTCCACCCCCCGAAGCGAGTACCGCTGGTGCCTTCCGCTCTCTTAAGGTCGTCCAGGCTAATGTGCAGACGATGAGCGATGTTGAACCGTCCTTTTTCAACAGGTCCGGGCACGGACAGCGTCGTATATATCTCAGTAAACAGTTACGTGATCTTGGAGTCCATGTGGCTTTTCTGCAGGAGTGCCGGAGCCGTGCCGGTAGGTGGGCGTCCCACGGTTTCCTCAGTTGGCGTGGGGGACACACGAAAGGCTGCTACGGAGTAGAGATATGGGTAGACCCACATTGCGCAGATCCACCACTGCAGCTGGACCAATGGAGGATCTGCTTGTCGCAGCCGCGTCTTCTCGTGATCCGCTGCCTCCGTGAGGATGCGCCTCTCACTCTGATTTCAGGGCACGCCCCCCACGCTGAGCGCCCAGCCGAGGAGATTCGGGCGTTCTGGCAGCTTCTTCAGGAGCAACTCCGAACCCTGAGGCGTGATGGGCCGGTTCTTGTTGGCATCGATGCCAATGCTGACTTTCTCGCCGAAGACGAGCAAGGAGCTTTAATCGGGTCTCTGTTGGCCGACCGCCTCCCCAGGCTCGGCGATGACTTCCTTCTTCAAACGGTCGTCGACGCAGGTCTCTTTGCTGCTGGCACATGGCCTGACCTCCACAGTGGGCCCTCGTGGACCTGGCAGCATACCAGCGGCAAGCGTCAGCGCCTTGACCATATCCTGTGTTCCCAGGATGCACGGGTCACCTCACACTCGCAATGCCCGGACTTCGACATTCTCACTAAGGAAACTCGGGATCATATGCCTTTGGTATGTCTTATTGACGTGCCCAGTCGTCCTAAGCAACGGCACAACGTCCCCCACCGTTACACCGCGGACAGGGCTTATGAGGTTGGTCAAGAAGTCTGGAGGCAGTTGCGACCAGATGTTGGCGGAGGACCTAGTCAGCAGGTGCAGGGGTTTCTTGCGGCCCACCAGCAGGCTGTTGCTTCACTTCCCCCGCGGCCTCCCTTTGTCCGCAGGCAACCCTACATCTCAGATGAAGCGGCGGATGTGCTTACTGACCTACGTGATGCACGTGCTGAGGTGCGCCGTTTGCGGGGCTTCCTTGAACAGTTTACACGACAAGCCGTTCTCCGCGCCTGGAGGGGGCTTGTTGCGCGGGTCGACCACCGCCTCACCATCCACGTCCTCCGGCTCCAGGTGCAGCTCCATTCTGCTGACATTCGGCGTTTGGGGGCCCAGGCCCATCTCCTCGCCAGGCGGGATAAACAGCAGTACTTTGAGCACCTTCTCGGTGAGGCGACCGCCCACTGGCATGCGACTGGGCGTCCTATGGAAAGTACCCATCGGCTGGCCTGGGCGTCCAAGACTGCTAAGCAGAAACGGGATGTGCGTGCTGCCAGCGGATACGACATAGACCTGGCTCTTCAGGCGCAGTTCCAGAGCCAAGAGGCCGGCCAGGCGGTCTCGGCTGAGCAGCTGCAACTCCGATATTCTGCCTGGGAGGCCACCCCGAAGCCTCCATGTCTGGTCGCCGCCCCCACTCTCCTCAACCTTGAGGCCTTGTGCAGGTTGCAGAAGCCGCGCAAGGCGCCCGGGCCCGACTCTGTTCGTAATGAAGTATGGCGGGTACAGCCGGAGAGCGCCGGGCGCTGGCTATGGCCACTCTGCTGTTGTATTAGTCTGGGACGCAGGGAGCCCTTGCACTTCAAGGACTCCTCGGTCTGCGCGCTGCATAAGAAGGGACCCGCATACTTGCTCTCGAATTTTCGCAGCATTGCAATGCTGAATGGTGTTGCAAAACTATGGCATTCACAGGTCCGGGCTACTGTTGGCCAGGCAGTTCTCCAGCATTACTTTCCGACACAGCTCGGAGGACGCCGAGGGATCGACACTAGTATGGCTCTGGGGGTTTTCCGCTGTGCCTGTGACCTTGCTTCCGGGCGAGAAAGGTCTTGGGCCGCCTTTTTCGTAGACATCCAGGCAGCATACTATGAAACCAGTCGCTCGCTTTTATTCGATGGCCCCGGGACCGACCCTGTCCTCCAGGCTCTTCAACTGCCAGCTCATGTACATGCCCTGATTGCTGATGGGGCGCTCAAGGGACTCGGTCTTCCGCCGGAGCATGTAGCGTTGTTGCAGGACTGCGTGGAATGTTCTTTTTGGACGTTCACCGGCCAATCCCAGCAGGTGATGGCCACTAGAGGCTCCCGGCCGGGGGATGGACTTGCCGATGTTCTATTTGGGGCCCTTTTCGCGGTTATTTTGACGTGCCTGGAGGACCACTGTCAGCGGCGTGGGCTGGTGCATCAAAGCATGTCGGACGCTCTTGGGGTCCCTGACCGACCGCTCCAGATTG